CTCTATTCTCTAGTGCTGTCCCCAGCTTCCTTCTGGGTCTAGCGTTAACAGTCCTCTTTGGACTGTCAAAAGCCGACATGTCATTCCGGTCATTTCATGTGAGCCCAATCTGTCATTATACACACCCTGGGGGTACGTCATCACAGAGCCTGGGCTCACTATACTCGAGGAGCACTCAAACATCGTTAGTTGAGTGCTGCTCAGTTCTTGAAAAATGACCACCCCCTCCTACCACTGGTGGTAAAAGAGATGTCACTGGGCTGGCTAGGAGAGTAAAGGAAAGGTTCGGCTAGGTGCTTGTTTAAAATAAAAAATACGGGGTGGGGGACTTCTGGGGGTGGCAGGTGGCAGAGGGGTGTTAAAATCCACTTTAAGCAGTGTAATGAGATTTATTACCCTTAGGCAGCTCCCTCCACTCCCAGCAGTGGTGGCCCAAGGTCTCTTAGTAAAGTCGCTCCAGATGCCGACCATTTTAGGCACTTTCCTCCTTGCACACCTAGACCACTGTCTGTTTTACCATCAAGGAATGTTCCCTTGGACATGGTGTAATATAGCAAATGTACATGCTGAAAGGCATCATAAAAGTCTGAGTATATACACAGAATGACCGAAGCTTTGCTTTTTTTGTTCATTAAAGGGAATCTGTTGTGAGAAAAAATAACTGACTACACTGGCTGAAGAATCTTCAGCCTCTGACACCCTTCCGGGAGTATCATATACCTGATCCCCCACTGCACCCCAGTGGCAACTACTCCTTTTACACTATGTCCATTTGTGGGTCGAACAATATTGCGCAACAGCCAGGCATTTAACAAGGAAAGTGTGTTGGATTCTGAAGACTCTTTAGTTGGCCTAGCTCTTCAAGAGAGCAAGGATCTGACCCACTTTGTGGCTCTTTGTCAAGAGGAATTATTTATTTTCACAACAGAGTCTCTTTTAGCTAAATGAACATTCCCTATCAATTTAGTGTATCAACCCATTTAGCAGGCTCTAATAAATACCTATTCCGGCATCCAACACACTTCCAGGAGCATCATATACCTGATCCACCGTTGCATGCCATGGCACTGGCAACTATGCCACTACTGTGTCCTTTCAAGAGTGGAATGACATTGCGCAACAGCCAGGCATTCAACATTTCCAGTGTGTTGGACTCTGAATGTTCTTCAGATGCCATAGCACTTCAAGAGAGCAGAGATCACACCTACTGGTGGCTCTTTTTTCATCCCTATTCCAGCATCCAGCACACTTCTAGGAGCATAATCATAATATACCTGAACTCCCGTTGCCAGCCATGGTTCCATCCACTGGCAACTATGCCACTACTGTATCCTTTCAAGTGTGGAAAGATATTGCGCAACAGCCAGGCATTCAACATTGGAAGTGTGTTGGACTCTAAATACTCTTCAGACGTCATAGCTCTTCAAGAGAGCAAAGATCTGACCCACCGTTGGCTCTTCTTTCGTCCCTATTCCAGCATCCAACACACTTCCAGGAGCATAATAATAAAATACCTGGACTCCCATTGCCAGCCATGGTTCCACCCACTGGCAGCTATGCCACTACTGTGTCCTTTCAAGTGTGGAAGGATATTGTGCAACAGCCAGGCAATCAACACTCTTGGAAGTGTGTCTGATTCTGAAGACCCTTCAGAAGACACAGCTCTTCAAGAGAGCAAATTCCCGACCCACCGGTGGCCCTTCTTCAAGAGCAACTATTTATTTTTTTGTAACAGAGTCATTTTTAGCTAAATGAACATTCCCTACCCATTTAGTTTATCAACCCATTTGGGAGGCTCTCTTAAATACACATTGCAATATGAATCAGACGACCATGTGCCAAGAACACTGTCATTAGATAACAAGCCAGTGAAGAAGAAAAAACATGAATAATTTTTATGGACGTGTATTTTCTTAACAGACTCATCCATAATTAGACTGCTTGGGTGGTTGACAACCTCCATTAGCCCGGAGCCGTATGGGATTTACAATTTGCAAGTAAAAGCTGTTCATAATGTTTTATTTTTACACCTTTCGCGTGGTGGATTCCATCTGTTATCTCAGCAGACTTCACTGGAAGCAAAGAGGTGGCATTTCACTCATGGCATTTTTTTTTTTTTTATCAAGCATTACGAAGAAACCTGAGACTGAAGCTTGATCCTTCTTGTATACATTATTGATAAGAAGACAATTCAAGCATGTAGGAGACATTTTACCCCAATGATTAGCAAACTCTTCTTCTTTCCCTGGTGTTTGCTAATTAATGGAGTAAAGCCTGTCTT